CCTTTTAATAGAGAACCAGAACAAAGCATTAACACATACTGAATACATGAACTCCTCAAACTACGGTCATCATTAGAAAGTATCCCAATTACTGTCACCCTAGGGTTTACGGATCATAACATGTAATAGGTGAATATGACTTGCAAGATCATAACACGTAATAGGTGAAAACACAAACGGTTCAGATCTGAAATCATGGCACTCGGGCCCTAGTGACAAGCATTAAGCATAGCAAAGTCATAACAACATCAATATCAGAACATAGTGGATACAAGGGATCAAGCCCTAACAAAACTAACTCGATTACATGATGAATCTCATCAAACTCCTCATCGACCAGCGAGTCTACGAAGGAATTACTCACTCCTGGTGGGGGGCATAATGGAATTGGCGATGAAGGAGGGTCGGTGATGATGAAGACCGAAGATTCCCCTCTCCGGAGCCCCAAACAAGCTCCAGAACTAGCCTCCCGATGAAGAATAGGAGGTGGCGTCTGCTCCATATCGTAAAACATGATGAAACTTTCCCTCCTATTTTTTCTCTAAAAATAGGTCTTTATGGAGTTGGAATTAGGGACTGCGGGACCATGAGGTGGGCACAACCCACAAGGGCGCGCCAGAGGGGGGGGGCACCCTTGTGTGTTGTGCCCAGCCAGGGTCCCCCCTCCGGTGGTTCTTGGTGCCAATATTCTTTATATACTCTGAAATAATTCTCCAAAAAGTTTCGTCCAAATCTAAAAACTTTTATTTCTGCACAAAAACAACACCAAGGTAGTTCTGCTGAAAACAACGACAGTCCGGATTAGTTTCATTCAAATCATGCAAATTAGAATCCAAAACAAGAGCAGAATTGTTAGGAAAAGTAGATATGACGGAGACGTATCACAAAACAACCCCAAGTACATCGCCACCACCTCCGACAAGGATTAACGTCAACCGCAAGTAGCCGAGCGAGAGCATTTCTATACTCCCGATAGTCAATCTCCAACTTCGAAGCCCAGACCAGTACTCCACAATCCCAAGGTGGCGCCTTCAAGAAGTAAAATGACGTTGGAGCGTCATTGGTTTTCACCCGGGACCCGGACGTGGAGGGAAAGGACAAGATCTCGATTCCACCTATAGGGTAGCGAACAACGCCCGGAGTGTCAGCCGCATCGTGGCCGCTGCAGCTGGCCAAGGGATTCCCCAATTCATGGCCCCAATTAGCCATCGAACCTGACCAACCGGGCATGATAGGCTCACGGGGCAGGAAGAGGATCAGGGAAGGAGACCACCTTCTCGAAATCAGCCCCAAGGACCAATGGGGAGGCCCCAGGAGCATGCTCTAGACTCGACGCCGATCTATGACGCCCCCTTGGCGTGGCAAGCTCCAGCCACCCACCCACCGATGTAAGTTATGTGTTGAGAATCATAGTAGAAAACAAAAAAATTTGTCCTACATATCGAATACAAGAATCACTATGAAGATGCATACAAGGTTAGATCTGATCATTACCAACTCGAAGTTGCAGCGGAAGAAGAGTTGGTGATGATCATTCTTGAAGTCCCTCAAGCCATCCCACAAATAGTCCCTCGAATGAAGATCGAAGGCATGATCTCTCTATGGTTTGCACGCGTACGAAAACAATGATCCGGTAGCGCTTCGCCACCCAAAGCAAGGCGTCGCCAGAGAACTATAGGAGGGAGGAGTATCCTTGCAGTGGAACAATTATTAGTTGGACAACTGAAGAGAGGGAAGGGCGATCCTTTACACAAAATTTGTGTGCAAAAGAGGGGGTGCCCCCTGATGTATATGTAGGTGCAGGGGATGGGCGTCATGGAGGAAAGGTTCCTCCCCCTTGTGGTGGCGCACCAAGGGGTGGGGGGCACCCCAAACCCGAGCCGCACCAAGCTAGGCTTGGGCACCAAAGCTAGGGGCGCCCTCCTTCTTGGGTCTCATAGGCCCATGCCGGTGCCTATTTAATTCTAGGGGGCTTTGGGAATTTTCCCTTCCGGAAGTTTTCCGTCATTTCGGTTTAACCAGGTTTTCTCCCGAACACTTCTGATTTTCTCTCAGAATGATTTCCATTACCTCCAAACTTTTTCTGTGATATTCCCCTAAGCTCCTAACTCAATTAGCACTCAATAGATCGAAGAACCTTAAGCGTGTGACCCTGTAGGTTCGATGAATTATAGACATGACTTGAACACCTTCTGTTCAATGAGCAATAGGGGAACCATGGACATGCATATTGACCCCTATACCCACATGAATGATTATCGAGTGAACATGTAGCCACCGTATGTCATTCCTTTTGCTTTGCGATACTTTACAAAAATTGAGGTGAGACCAACAACATCCCCGCGAATCAACACATGATCACTATGCTAGTTTTCTCGTTGCCGGTTTTGTTCTCTTTTCTCGTTGCTGTGTTCCGGCATCCCTGTGATCAAGTCACATTGCATCAGTCCAGACGATGATGGATACCTTCACACCAAGAGGCCCCTAAGAATATATCTCCATCGTTGGAGGAGCTAATATCAATGTTGAGTATCTATTCCATTGTCCTACATTTTTGATGAACATGTAATTTATTGTTATGATCACGTTGTTATGGTTGACGTTAGAACAAGCCCAAAGTAGATCGTCCAGTGTGAACCGATGACTCAATACTATCATGGTCTAAGGAATTTTGCATACATTAACTTTCTATGTATTATAAACTACAAACTTGTGACGAAAGCATCTCTTAGTATAAAATAAAACTTAGACCAAGTCAACACAAGAATTCTTCTAACATCGTGCCCTCAGTGTTGTCAGCACCATCGCTACACGTAACTTATGGCCATGATCATGAAAACGGAACCATCATGCAACACCTGAGCTAGTCCTAGAGGCGAAATTAGGAATCTATTTTATCGTTTATTATTCTACACATGCACATGAGTTTTTTCCTGAGCCTCGTGGTTATTGCAGACTCGAGAACCATTGCGGATATAGCATAGAACATAAACATTAATTATAAAATTGGAAATAAATAATACCACTTCTGTTATTGCCTCCAGAGCATATTTCCAACAGTATGGGCCAGCCCGCACCCAGTTGCTGTAGACGGACCCTAGGAGCGCCCACCTGAGCTGGCAGCAAACGAGCCGAAGCCGGAGTTGAATCTAGCCGTCACCATGGCATGGCCTCCCAATCATTGTGGTTGCCGCACCGTCAACAAATGTCACGAGAAGCCACCACCTCGTTGCCCCACACCACCCCATGAAACGACCTAGATGGGCCACCGCCACCATGACGTGCCGCTCACCGTCCCCCAGGTGCCAGATTCGGGTGGATTTGGCCGGGATGGAGCCTAGATGCCGCTGCCCTATCTGACACATCACACAACCGCCGCATCACCCAATGTGCACAGGCCGTCGTCAGCCGATGCGCCGCTTCATCCCCTAATAGCGTTGCGCCATTGCTCAACCAATCGTCCCACACCAGGCACTAGGGGGCAGGCGAAAGGGAAGAATGACCCCCCTGGCCGCCGGCCGAGCTCTCGGCAGTGATGGGCGAGGAAGGAATGGGAAGGAGGTTTGCTCGCAAGCTAGGGTTTCCCTTGGTCGCTCCCGGGAGGAAGGCCCAGGCCCGCCTCCCCCCCCCCCAGCTCGTAGGAGGGAGGCCCAACGACCCTCTCGGAAGTGGCGGCAGAGAAGAGATGGAAGGGGAGGGAGGTTTGCTCGCAAGTTAGAGCCCCCCACCCCCTCCCCGGGTCGCTCGCGGGACGAAGTGAGGGGGCGGCCCCAACTAATTTCATACCATCTGCGTCCATCGGTTTAATAGGCTATCACGATTAGCACATAATTTTTGAACACAATGGAATCGAAGCTGCTCACATACATGTAACATGCACGTACACTCATCTATGAACGCGACACACATCTAGATGTGAATTAGACAAACTGCACATCTTATCCCTATAATATAAGCATGTTCGAGATGCTATAAGTCGGCGCAAGATCTGAAGATGGATGAAGTAACCACGTGCGATTCGTAGTATTAAACCCCGGAAGTGACATAAACCTGCATGATTCATTATGCAAGGTTAAAAAAAAAAAGCAAGGAATCCATCAACCGAACGCCGCCGCGTGCTTGCGTCAGAGAGTCGGAGAGACCCAATCGTCTTCCTCCCCACGCATTAATAAGCCCTCGCCTTAAATCCCCGCTCCCAACCGTCTTCCTCCCCAGCTCTGACGACGGTATCCATCCCGGAACGGGAAACACCAACCTGCTTTCCACCTATAAAATCCGCCCTTCCCCACCCCCCAATCCCACAACAGCAAACCAAATCCCCCAAGACCAAAAAAGGCCCCAGCAACCCAAGCGCGTCGACCCCATCCACAGTTGAATCTCTGAGTTTACTTTCAGAGAAGATTTTAGTCGAGATGGCGCAGGCGATCGAGGCTCAGAGGGAGGGCGCGGAGGTGTACCACGGCGCGGCGCTGTGCGCGGAGAAGGCGGTGGAGCTGCTGGCCGAGACCAACATGCCGCTGGGCCTGCTGCCGCTGGCAGACATCGAGGAGGTGGGCTACAACCGCGCCACCGGCTTCGTCTGGCTGCGCCAGAAGAAGGCGCTCACGCACACCTTCAAGCAGATCGGGCGGCAGGTCTCGTACGGCACCGAGGTGACGGCCTTCGTCGAGGACCGCAAGATGAAGCGCATGACCGGGGTCAAGAGCAAGGAGCTCCTCATCTGGATCACCCTCTGCGACATGTACATCGAGAAGGACGATCCCTCCAAGATCACCTTCAAGACGCCCACAGGGCTGGGGAGGACCTTCCCCGTCTCCGCCTTCGAGAAGCAGGACGACGGCAAGGCCAAGGCCGCGGCTGCCGACGGCAAGGAGGCCGTCGTGGCCAAGTAGGTGAGGAGGGCCGGCATACTCTACAAAGTTTGGATGAAGAGTCCTCGAGTCCAATATTAACTATATACAAAGTTTGGATGAAGAGTACTATTTGCTTTTATCTTTATAATAAACTACGGATTATATAAGGGGTTGTAATACTCTGCTCCGGTGTTTTGCCGAGGGTTGTATCATGCATATGATCGTGCGATCTTTATAATCTTATATGTGCTGTTCGCTGCTTAATCGTGCGAGCCTTTTTGTGTGGCAGTGTCACGAGGTGTTCGTGACTACGTGTTCTCAGATTTGTTTTATTTTAGGCATGAAAAGCTTCTCTCCTCCCTTGTGCATAGACAAAGGGACAATCCTGGTCTCCTGCTATTTAAGTGAAGTCACGTATAGCTAGATCGGTATATCTGTCAACCAACTTTTTTGTTTTTGATTGACGGTGACTGTCAACCAATTGATGCAGAGTGCTACTCCTCAAATCAAATTGAAGTAGCGGGACAACTACTAGAATCGACAATTTGACATACAATGGGAAAAGTACTTTTGCTTCGATAATAAGATGGCTGTATGCATCACTCTTGATGCAGAGGCCGGGGAGTCCCCCATTTTCCAAAAAAAAAAACGGGAAAAGTACTTACGTTACTTCAACGCTTTTTCTAAGGGCAACTTCAACGGTGATCAATCAAACAGACCTCACCAAATGTCTCGAGGCCATCTAATCTAACCATATGCTAAATACAATAAATAAGCACTGTATTTTTATAAGCTTTTACATCCAATCTATCTCTAGCTGACCGTGCCAAAGACCTCCTCCTTCATCTGTCTGTCCGGCTTTCCGTGCCAAAGACCTTACTCTTTGGCTGGTTCGGCCTCCTCCGTTTGTGTGAAGTGCTTCAACATGCTCACATGTCTTTGCTGCATCGGGATCCAAGCTCGACGTCTTCACGTACAACATTCTGAAGTCCCCCGAAACAGGCTTGATCTCAAACTTCTTCCCGTAGAGCTTGAGCTTCTTGTCACATCCCCATGAAGATACCACACATCTTCGCCTTCTTTTGGTCCTTCACCTCGTAAAGCGCAATAATTGCCTCCTCCTTCGTCATGATGTAATCAAACTTCTCTATCATCTTGGCCGCCGCCCCTTCTCGCTTCTCCTCCTCCCACTTTCTCCCCCAGTTCCTAATCACCTTCTTGGCTAGAACAAGCCCCATCTTTCGCTGGAACAATTGGATCACCACCTTCATCTTCATTGACCATGGCATTCTTACAGAATTGGCAATCAAGGCGGTCTACTTGCTTTGCCCATGCATCTTAAAAAACAATGCATATACATGAAGTGTTTCTTCTCCATCTTGTGGTATAACATGCACACACATACGGGCTAGCAAAGGAAGATAATGGATGGTAATCAAGTTGCAACATTGAGAAAATCAATGAAATGACCAACCCACACAACCACAAGCCACAAAACTTACAAGATCTTGGATTGTCATGTCACTTGGCCACTGGTTTTGCACTTGTTTGTGAAAACCGCAAAGCTTGTTGACTCCCTCTTGAATTTTTGTACATCGATGGCTAACTGATTTTGAATTGTGCTGATGGATCACTTCCTTGCGGTAGGGATCATAGCACTTTTTCTCGTGAAACCAAATATGCACGCTTTGCCAAAACGTCGTGCCCCTTTGCTCCATGCCATGAAACGGATCAATACTAGTGACCAACCACGCCTCACAAACAGTTCATCCTTCTTTGGGGAAAATTTAGTTCTCTCTACTTATTTGGCTTGCCTCCCGGCAGCCACTGCTCGTCCTGATCCATGTCTAGATGTTGGGTGTACATCTCTTGGGTGCACGTTTGTTGTGTGTATGGTTGCAGGTGGTCCTCCGGCTGGGAGTCTTCGACTTGTCTGTCTTTATAACCGCCTTCCTCATGGTAAATATTTATCATCGTCTCATAGTTATCCTCGTCCCGCTTGGATGAGGAATTTTGGAAAACAATGATTGGGCACCGACAGACGAGTGGTCCACAACCAGCATCTGCGACCGAACAAACCTCGACGACTGTGATTCCGTGAAGAGGTGTTGTGGTTGACGGTGAAGGAGACTTGATGGTCGGAGGTAAAGAAGGACGTGGACTGTTGCGGTGGTTGCTGTAGACCGAGGTATTGGGAGGCATAGTAGTGTGCCAAATTGATCCCACTCTATTCACTCAAAGAGTTAATGGTAAAGTATTTGTGTGCCAAATTAATGTTGATGATATCATACTTGGTTCCACTAACCCTCACTTTAGTGAAATGTTTGGAAAGTTGGTATCCGAGAAGTATGAGATGTCTATGATGTGTGAGCTGAAATTCTTCCTTGTCTTACAAATTAAGAAAGCAAGTGAAGGTAATTTTGTTTCACAAACAAAGTACAATAAGGACTTGTTTAAGAAGTTCAATATTGAGAATTGCAAAGGCACTAAAACACCTATGCCTAATGATGACCCATAAGTATAGGGGATCAATCGTAGTCCTTTCGATAAGAGCGTCGAACCGAACGAGGAGCGAAGGAAATGACAAGTGGTTTTCAGCAAGGTATTTTCTACAAGTACTAAATTTTTTGGTAACAGATAGTTTGATAGCAAGATAATTTGTAACAAGTGACAAGTAGCAATAGTAACTAAGGTGCAACAAGGTAGCCCAATCCTTTTTGTTGCAAAGGACCGGCCAAAATGGTCTCTTATAATAAGCAAAGCGTTCTTGAGGACACGCGGGAGTTTCATCTAGTCACTTTCATCATGTTTGTTTGATTCATGTTTGCTACTTTGATAATTTGATATGTGGATGGACCGGTGCTTGGGTGTTGTTCTTACTTGAACAAGACTCGCACTTATGATGAACCCCCCTCACAAACATCTGAAACTACGAAAGAAGAATTAAGATACATCTAACCATAACATTAAACTTATGGATCCAAATCACCCCTTACGGAATAGCACATAAACTAGGGTTTAAGCTTCTGTCACTCTAGCAACCCATCATCTAATTACTACTCCACAATGCATTCCTTAGGCCCAAAGATGGTGAAGTGACATGTATTCGACGTTCACATAACACCACTAAGGGAAACAACAACATACATATAATCAAAATATCAAAAGAATACCAAATTCGCATGATTACTTATGACAAGACTTCTCCCATGTCCTCAAGAACAAAAGTAGCTACTCACAAATCATATTCATGTTCAAGATCAGAGAGGTATTAAATATCATAATGGATCTGAACATATAATCGTCCACCAAATAAATCAACTGGCATCAACTACAAGATGTAATCAACACTACTAGACACCCACATGTACCAATCTGAGGTTTTGATACAAAGACTGAATACAAGATATGAACTAAGGTTTGAGATGAGATGGTGCTGGTGAAGATGTTGATGAAGATTGATCCTCCCACAATGAGAGGGTTGTTGGTGATGATGATGGCTTTGATTTCCCCCTCTAGGAGGGAAGTATCCCCGACGGAATCGCTCCGCTGGAGAGCAAAAGTGCTCCTGCCCAAGTTCTGCCTCGAGACGGCAGCGTTCCGTCTCGAAAGTCCTCTCCTTTTTTCAGGGCAAATGGGCTTATATACCAGAAGATGGGCACCGGAGGCTGTCCAGGGCCCCACAAACCACGAGAGCGCGCCCTGGGGGGTGGGCGTGCCCTGGTGCCTTGTGGGCACCTGGGTGGCCCACTCTGGTAATTCTTTTCTCCAATATTTTTATTTATTTCAAAATAAATCTCCATGAAATTTCAGCTCATTTGGAGATGTGCGGAATAGGTATCACTAACATAGCTTTTTCAGGTCCAGAATTTCCAGTTGCCGGCAATATCCCCCTTCATGTAAATCTTGCATATTAAGAGAGAAAAGAATTAGAATTGCTCCATGGTGTTATATTGATTAAAAGCACTATAAATAACAGTAGGAAAAACATGATGCAAAATGGACGTATCAACTCCCCCAATCTTAGACTTCGCTTGTCCTCAAGCGAAGCCAATATTGATAATCATGTCCACGTGTTTAGAGAGAGAGAGGGGGGGTGATAAAAACAAAATACGGACAGAGTAGCATCCTGATCATTATTATAGCAGCAATAAACATTATCATAAAACTTCTCATGAGCAAGTAACAATCATCACAATATAAAAGTATAAGGCATAAACTTTCTTGAAAACTAACAAACTATGTTCTCAGTCAACAATGCAATTGCAATTCACATTTTTTCAGGAAGGGTCTCATGTCGGAGCTTTTGTTTAGCAGGTCCACATACTCAACCATCATTTAGTCTTCTATGATTGCTAACACTCACAACACACACACACACACACACACATGCACACACTAGCAACCCATCATCTACTTATTACTTCTCAATGCCTCCCTCTAGGCCCAAATAATGGTGAAGTGTCATGTAGTCGACGTTCACATAACACCACTAGAGGAGAGACAACATACATCTCATCAAAATATCGAACGAATACCAAATTCACATGACTACTTATAGCAAGACTTCTCCCATGTCCTCAGGAACAGACGTAACTACTCACAAATCATATTCATGTTCATAATTAGAAGGGTATTAATATGCATATAGGATCTAAACATATGATCTTCCACCAAATAAACCAACTAGCATCAACTACAAGGAGTAGTCAACACCACTAGCAACCCACAGGTACCAATCTGAGGTTTTGGGACAAAGATTGGATACAAGAGATGAACTAGGGTTTTAGGAGAGATGGTGTTGGTGAAGATGTTGATGAAGATTGACCCCCTCCCGATGAGAGGATTGATGGTGATGATTTCCCCCTCGCGGACGGATGTTTCCCTAGCAGAACAGCTCCGCCTAAGCCCTAGATTGGTTCCGCCAAGGTTCCGCCTCGTGGCGGCGGTGTCTCGTCCCGAAAGGTTGCTTATGATTTTTTTTCAGGGTAAAAGACTTCATATAGCAGAAGATGGGCACCGGAGGCCTGTCAGGGGGC